GAAATCCGCCTGCCTCCGCCTCCCAAGTGCTGGGATTAAAGGCGTGCGCCACCACCGCCCGGCTTTGTTTTTTTTTTTCACTATTTTTTGTTGTGCTGGGAATTGAACAAGAGCTTCATTTATATGCTGGTCACTACCAACCTTACTCCAAGGTAGCTACCTAGCTTGACCATAAATCTTTTTATTTTCCAAAGATGTATTTATTTTATTATCTCTGCATATATAGGTGAGTGCCTGAATGCATGTTTGTGTGCTGTGTGTGTGTTCCTTGTGGACATGGAGACCACAAGAGGAAATGGGTCCCCTGGGAACTAGAATCATAGATGGTTTTGAACTGCCATTTGGGTACTGGGACTTGGACTAGATCCTCTACAAGAACAGCAAGTGCTCTTAAACACTGAACCATCTCTCTAGCTCTCAGAAACAAACTTGTGTGTGTGTGTGTGGGGGTGTATTTTCATGACAGGGTTTCTCTGTATAGTTCTGGCTTTCCTGGAACTTGCTCTGTAGAACAGGCTGGCCTTAACTCAGATCTACCTTCCTCTGCCTCCCAAGTGCTGGGACTAAAGGTATGCACCACTACACCTGACAGAACATACCCTTCATTGCGAGGGATTTACTACAGCTAAATTCAGGATCCTCTCAAGTTCTGAGATACAGGAACAAGCCACTGTGCTTGGCTATGCATATATATCTTACAGGATTACAGTAAAACTATTCAATTCACTTGGGAACACTACTGGTAATTTCCAGGGGCAATTACCAGGCCATTTGTACTCCTTTTTCTTCTGTGGGAAGCTTGGGCAAAAGGTCCTTTGGGTCTAATCTTGGTGTAGACTGAGAATTGGGAAGAAAAACCAATTGCCATTGTTGAGGCTGACTTCAAGACCCAGCTCTAAAACAACATTATGGGGTCAGAGAAAGACATGGTTTGACAGCCAAAGCTTGTTGCGATCAAGGCCTTGTCTAACTCTCACCCCAGCAAAGCAACATGACCAGCATTAGGAGCTGACTGAGAGGGTAACTAAGATTACCTGCTTTCAGGTGTGGTGGTGTATGAAGATGCACTTCCTCCTGGAACACTGTGGAGAAAGCGGAAGAAACAGGTCCTTTACCTCTAGCCTCTTACTAGTCCTTCTCTAGCTCCTTTTTTTTTTTTTTTTTGATTTTGGGACAGTTTTCTTTGTGTATTCCTGGGCATCCTGGAATTCTGGAACTCAACTCTGTAGACTAGGCTGTACTTCTTTTCTTGTAAAATACACACACATACATACACACACACCTGTGTGTGTGTGTATGTATGTGTGTCCCTGAAGCCAACTCCAAGGACAGAGGCATACTTAACTTTATTTTTAGTTGCTGACATTTGTAGTCCTGATTACATAATAGCAAAGTCCTGGCCAGCTAAGTTTTCTCTAACCCTGATAGACCTCAGATCTGCCAAAGTGAGGGCTAAGCTACAGGGAAGAGAGGCTTGAGCAGCACTTGCTCAGACTCCATTCCCACTCTGGCAGCCTTCAGTCCAGACCTGCTCTGGGACCCATCTCTCCGGAATGTTGAGCAGGCATTCAGCTTACAGGAAAGGCCTTTCCTATCAAGATTGTACAGTTCTTACTAAATGGCAACTCTAGGTACTTAAAGCCAAAAATTTGGTATTTTCTTTTTTTTTTTTTTTTCCGAGACAGGGTTTCTCTGTGCAGTCCTGGATGTCCTGGAACTCACTCTGTAGACCAGGCTGGTCTCAAACTCAGAAATCCGCCTGCCTCTGCCTCCCAAGTGCTGGGATTAAAGGTGTGCGCCACCACCGCCTGGCAAAATTTGGTATTTTCAATTTCTCATTTCTCAGATATCACAGCTCAGTCAAAAACACTGGCAACTTTTCCCAAAACCTACGTATTTCTCAGTATTACATTATTTCCAAATGTAAATTTACCTCACTATACATTTCCTTCCCTGGATTATTTTGGAGCCCTTCTTGAAGTCTCCCTTCCCTTCCTTCAGGGTCTCACTATGTAGCTTTTGCTGTCCTGGAACTTGCTTTGTGGACTAGCTGGCTTTGAACTTAGATCTGCCTGCCTTTCAAGTGCTGGGATTAAAAGCGGTGCCACTATGTCCAGCTGAGATCTCCTGTTTCTATTCTTGTCTTTTGCTTTTTTATTTTCATGGCTGCAGGTTGAGCTAGGGCCCGCTACATACTAGGCAAGCAGTCTACTACTGAGTACATACTCAACCCTTTGTTTTTGTATTTGAGTCAGGGTCTCTCTCACTTTGTAGCTCTGGTTGGCCTGTTCAGAGATCTGCCTGTTCCCACCTCTCTGAGTGCTGGAATTCAATGCATGTGCCGTGACATGGGGCCTTTCCCCAACCCTTTTCATTTAGGTCACTCCTCTGCTCAGATCCCCCAATGGCTTCCTGTTTCACGACTGTTACAGACCAGCATCCTGAGAATGCCTGCAAGGCTATGCATGGCCCGCTGCTTGAGTCTCCACTTATTACCGTCTCCTGCTCACTCTAGTCCAGCCCACTGCCCTGTTCCTACAGATACCCGCATGCTCATCTTAGCCCTGCTGCTTGGCCTCTCCCTTCTATAAAGCTCTTAACACTTTATCTGCTTGGCTCACAGGCCTGTCTTCTTTCCGTCTCACCCATCCCACCCACTGAGGTAATTCCTGAATGACAGAACCTCTAGCCACCGTCCTGGACTATTCTTCCTTGCTTTTGTTTTTTTTTTTTCCCCCTTTTGCTTTATACTGAAAAGTAAGCTTTACTGAGAACAGCTTCATCTTTTGCTCCTAATATACCCTGGGTCCCCAAATGCTTGGCACATAGTGGGTACTTGTTAGGCATTTGTTAGGAATGAATGGGAAAAAGCCCCTCCCCAATTTCTCTTATAGAGAACTAAGCCCACTGAGCCCAAAGGCAGAGCTGAGCTGGCTGTCTCTGGGGACTGCAGATGCAATATTGCCCCGAGTGTTTCTCTGCAGGGCTGTCCTCTAGGGAAAACTCCCTTGGTCTTCCAGTGTGTGGGACCTGGCTTTCATCAGCAGCGGAGCCCCAGGCCTGAGGGTGCAGAGACAAACAGTGGGCTGGCCTGATGCAATGGTTACACAGATTTGTTGGGAGACAGGACTGAGGAAAGAAGCAGAGATCAACCCTGGGAGAAGCAGAAGACCCTGGAGAGATTCCAAATGATTTCCCATCGTTAAAGAGATCCAGGCTGCTCTCTTGTATGGAAACCCAGAAACCTCTGGGGAAAAGGGAAAAACCCATCTATGCTCCTCCCACCAGCACCCCCACTCGCAAAGGTCTGTCAGTCTCTTGAACTTTAGAGTCAGCTACTAAAGTGGCCATATTGGCCCCCGAGGCGCTTCAGCTTGGAAAGATTTGGGGGGGGGGGGAGAATGAGGCCGGTGGAGAAAAGGTTGAGACTGCCAGAGTCCCCAACCTTGGGGGTGTGTCCTGCCGCCCCGCCTTTCCTGCGAACTGCCCGGGCCTAAGATGGCCCGCAGTTCTCAGTACAGACACGAGTTCCCGAAGGCAACCGGAGTCCCTTTGCTGAGCAGGGACCAACTCAAGACAAGGGAACCGGAATGCAATCGCCCAAAGGAAGAGGGGGTTTCTAAGCAGCATTTCCTGAATCAGGGACTCCCCGCCTGCCCCCCACTCCCCCTCAGTCTATAAGCTCACAGTGGAAGGGGTGGGGCTACATCCTCAAGAACAGTTGCCTCCAACTTTATGGAAGGGATGGCGAGGATGGGAAGGAAAGGGGCAGACGGAGTCAGTACTCGCCTCTCTCCTCAGGTTCCGGCTGTTATTTTGGCTCTGTCGCTGCCACCCGCTCATCTTCAACATGATATAATCGAAGTCTTAGTCTCAAGATAGTGAGTGACCTCTGGAGCGGAGAGCAAGTATCTTTTATGCTGTCCGGCCCCTCCTCCGGGGGGCAGGGTCCAGAAGCCTACCAATCAGAAAGCGGCACGCTGGCAGCGGCTCCGCCTCACCCCGCACATCCGCCACTCAGGAGTCCCGTGGCCCCGCCCCCATCGCGCCCTCTGGCTCGAGAGTCTACGTTGTCTCGGACCCGGAAGTGGCTTTGGGTCACGAGGCACCGCGGAGGAGGTGAGTGAGTCATGCGCGCGCGCGCGCGCGCGCGGAGGAAGAGCGCGGCGAGGGAGGGGATGACGGGGGGCGGGGATGATGCAATGTTTGGCAACCGGTGTCCGCGCGCGCACGCGCAGGGGACGTCGATGGTGGTGGGAGGTGCGGGGTGGTGGTGGGGGGGATGGATGGGGGAGAGAGGCAAAAGGGCGGAGCAGCTCCCAGTGTCCAACGGCCCCAACGGCTGTCCTTCCTGAACTTGTCTGCCCACCTCCCATCACCTTTAACTTACGCCTCCATAAAAGACTCCGGTCTCCCCCGGCCCCTCCCAGCTAATGGGCACCGAGGCTCTCGAACCTCTTTAAAGTTTCCAATTCGTTCACCTGGATTGACATCTTCTCGAGTCCTTTAAAGAGAGCTCCTCCTCTTTTAGCCTCCTAACGCTTCCCAAAGACTGAGGTACTGGCGTTTCCTTGGTAGTCCACCCGCTCCTCTCGGAAGGGCACCTTTAACGTTTGTTTCTGAATCGTCCACCGCGTGCCAGGATTCAAGTTCTTTTGTAGAGTGTAGACCCGCTGCCGCCTCCTCATCCCACCCCGGCTTCGTGCGATGCTCTTATGCCCTTCACTAAGCCCAGCACCCACCCTTTCCCTTGTCCGAGATAGCACGTCCTGTGACTCCCTGTAAGGAGCTGGCCTCTTGCCTCTAGCTGTCTGGGTTCACGACCTGCAGTAGAGACCGGGACGTGCATGCACTTGAACGCATGATTGCCCTGGACTGGGTCATCAGAGGAAACACAGATTCTAGTTTAATTTGCCCGAGGACTCTCCACCTTACTCATTTGAAACTTAAACGATAGGTAAAGGTAAAAAAAAAAAACAGCATTGTGGAGAAAACTTGAGTAAAAGTAAAAACATCTCGCAATATGTATTTTTTGTGCCGTGAACAGAGAGGCCATGTGGTGGCCTGTTACATAGTCTGTCGTACACTCAGAGGGGCAAGCCAGAGTTTGTCTGAGTAGAAACTGAACCAGGACCGGTTGCTATTGGATGGTGCGACAGTGACAGGTCCTTGGCCAGACTGCTCCTTCGCTCCAGACCTTCATTTCCCCTTCTGTTGGTAGAGGTGGGGGGTGGGTTGAACCAGATGGTCTCTCCTGGCCTAAAGACAGACCAGGTTGTCAGTGACAGGCAGGGGTCATGTGACTTGACAGGCTGAGGTCGTGTTGTGACATGTTGACCTGGAGAGGCGGGTCAAGTCCCTGCTCAGTACCCGGGAAGCCTCTGGGGCGGGGCAGGGCAAGTCGCGACTTTCATCTTTTAGGGCTGGCCCCTCCCGGACCTGACATTCCTGACTCCCCCAACAGATTGTGGCTTCGGAAGGGGCCCCTCCCGAGGGAGGATCGGGATTGGCCACCAGTGGCCTGGGAAGAGGCCCAGATCCTTCCGCGGAGGGCGGGGGGGGGCCGCGTGGGGTGTTTGTTCTCTTGGGGATTAATGGGGGGTGGTGGGGGAGGGGTAGGCGCGCTCCCGCATGCGCACTGCGTCCCCTCCTGTTGGCTCGCGGCTGTCCGCTGGGCGGGGGCCCGGCCCCGCCCCTCTCCCGTCCGGGCAGCGGCGGCGGCGGCGGTGGCGGCGGCGGCGGCGGCGGCGGCGGCGGCGGCGGCAGCCTGCGCGGTGCCTTCTGGGAACGGAATCCCCAGGGCTGCCCCTGGCCCCTATGGCGCATGCGCGGGAGGCCGCTCGGTGATCCGCGGCGGCGGCGGCGGCGGCGCTTCCTGCTAAGACCGGCCGGGGCCGTAACCGGAGGCTCGGGCTCCACCGACCCACCTCCCACCCCCTCCCACTCACCCTCTGGGCCGCGACAGCGCAGGGCGGGGCCAGCCGAACCATGGGCCGCGGTGAGTGCGGGGCCCGGCCCCCCCGCCCCTCCCCCTCCCTCCTCTCTCCTCCCCTTCTGTCCCTACCCTCTGCCCCCTCCGCGTCCTCTCGGCCCCTTTCCCCGGCCCCATCCGCAGCCCCGCACCCTCACCTGCCCCCGCCGTTCCTCCCCCTCCGTGCCTGACTTCTGCCTTCCTGACCTCCCTCCCTTGAGTGCTTCGCCCACCCTCCGCCCGCCCTCTCCCCAAGTTCCTTCCTACTTCGTGCGCCTGCCTTCCCCTCCTCCCCAAGCTGAAGGAAGCAGTCTGGGTGACAGGGCGCCTTGTTATGAGAGGGAAAGTTTGGAAGCCGTCAGTGTGCGGCGGGAGCGATGGTGAGGTTGGTGAGGGGTACCTGCAGGTCTGAGGGCCGTCCCTACATGTCAGGGAATGCTTGTTGCTGTTAACTGGAAGCCAGTGGGGGATTCTGAATCCCCTTTTCGTCGGCTTGAGAGGACCAGGAGCTTCTCAGGATCCTGGAGGAAGACAGAACTCTGGTTCCAGCCTCTTTGGAGGTCCAAATGAATTAGATCCGAGATTGTTGGATGGAGTGGGCATGGGGGGGGTTCAGCTGGTACCACCCTGCCAGGCAGTTGGGCAATTGCTTGGTGACCTGTGGGGCAATCCGTACTTTTTATATGATCTTCCTGGGGGAGGGGACAGCAGTGACCAGACACTGGGAGACTTCCTAGTGGCCTGGCATTATGGGAATTTGCCCACATTCCTTGTTGAAGTCTTCTGTGCCTAGACAAAGGGAGCTAGCCCTTCATATGTCAAGAAATCAGGGTATGGTTTCATGGTCCTTGGGAGTTGCAGTGCTGAACTCCTCTGGTCTCTAGGGACTGGGCTTGGAGGGACAGTTGTGGACATGGCCTGCAGATCCCTGAGGTCCCTGCAGGCACTACGTCATGTTATTTATGGGCCTTTCCTTGAGTGCTCTGGGCTGTGGTGTTTCTTGAGTTAGGTAGATTGAGAGGCCCTTCTCTTTCCTTGTTGCAGGTGTGGGCTAAGCTGGTGGCCCCGGCTTTAGACTGGATCCCACGATGTTTGCAGAGATGTTCAGGTAGCCATGGTGGTATGACAGAGGACTCCCTTTGCCTTCCCAGAACTCCCCCTCAGGTGCCCAGCCCAGGTTGACCCTCCGGGTGCCCACATGGCTGTGTGTGTTCCAGGCACAGGGGAGCTGATCACACACAATGAATGGAGGCAATGAACGCAGCGCAGCAGACAGAGCTGGGGGCCCTGCGGCCGCGCCTGTCCCCGTCGGGTGGCAGCGCCGTGTGCGAGAAGGTGCTGTGTACTATATCAGGTATGGCTTTCCAGAGTTTTCGTCCCCTCACCCCTCCTCTCAGAGCTTTGGTTTCTGGCACCTGCACACACGCACCCCCGCGCGCGCGCACACACACACATACACACATACACACATACACATACACACACAGCCTTTTGCTGTCTCTATCTCTACGTCTCTGGATACTTTCACTCTTTGTGTCTTCTCACATCCTTTATGCCTTGCCCTTCCCGGGAAAGCGGTTAACTGTCCTTTAGGAAGTAGCTCCAGGTTGGCTGACGTTAACCCCATACCTGTGACCCTGTTCTTTCCCAGCCCAAGTGGCACAGAGCTTTCTTCCTTGGAGCAAACCCGTAGCTACCTCCTCAGCGATGGGACCTGCAAGTGCGGTCTGGAGTGTCCACTCAATGTACCCAAGGTCAGAGCTGTGGGGGTGCCAGAGACTGGATGCATAAGCCAACCAATTACTGACCACCGTGCCTTCCTGAGATCCGCCCCCCTCACCATCCCTGTCCATGTTTCCTACCTTACAGGTTTTCAACTTTGACCCTCTGGCCCCGGTGACCCCGGGTGGGGCTGGGGTGGGGCCTGCATCAGAGGAGGACATGACCAAGCTGTGCAACCACAGGCGGAAAGCTGTTGCCATGGCAACTCTGTACCGCAGCATGGAGACCACCTGCTCACACTCTTCTCCTGGTGAGTTTCTGCCACTTTAGAGAAAAATGGGGGAAACCTGGGGTCTGGAAGGTGGATGGTGGATGAGCGATCTGTGAAGGAAGGCCCAGGGTGGAGTCGGTGGGGAACAGCTTGGTGAGAAGGGACATGGTGGTGACTTGTGGGAGTTGGGACTGGAGAAGACAGCACTCATGGCAGGCAAGGACCCACAGCTGACCTTCACTTCTCCTTTATTGCAGGAGAGGGAGCAAGCCCCCAAATGTTCCACACTGTGTCCCCAGGGCCCCCCTCTGTGCGCCCTCCTTGTCGAGTTCCTCCTACAACTCCACTTAATGGGGGTCCTGGCTCTATTCCCCAAGAGCCACCTTCAGTTCCCCAGGGCTTCCCCCCTCTAACAGGCCCTGCAGGGCTCTTCCCAGCACCCCGGCTTCCTGATCCAGTTCCCTCTGCAGGCAGCAGCAGCCCTTGTTTCCTCCCAAGAGGCAACGCTCCCTCTCCAGCCCCACCTCCTCCACCTGCTATCAGCCTCAATGCCCCCTCCTACAACTGGGGGGCTTCTCTCCGATCCAGCCTGGTGCCCTCTGACCTGGGCTCTCCTCCAGCCCCTCATGCCTCCTCCTCACCACCTTCAGACTCTCCTCTCTTCCACTGTAGTGATGCCTTAACACCTCCTCCCCTGCCCCCAAGCAATAATCTCCCTGGTCCCCCTGGTCCCCCTGGTCCTGCCACTCAGCCACCAGTGTCTTCAGCCACTATGCACCTGCCCTTGGTCCTGGGATCCTTGGGAGGGGCCCCCACAGTGGAGGGGCCTGGGGCACCCCCATTCCTTGCTAGCAGGCTGCTCTCTGCAGCAGCCCAGGCCCCGCCCCCGCCGCCCCCTCCCAGCACTTTACAGGGCAGAAGGCCCCGTGCCCAGGCACCCTCAGCTTCCCATGCATCGACCCGCCCCTCTCAGCGGAGGCCTCGCCGGCCCCCAACAGTCTTGCGCTTGCTAGAAGGGGGAGGCCCTCAAACCCCAAGGCGGAGCCGTCCTCGGGCCCCTGCTCCTGTCCCTCAGCCCTTTCCTCTCCCAGAGCCATCCCAGCCTATTCTCCCTTCTGTGCTGTCCCTACTGGGACTCCCCACCCCTGGCCCTTCCCACTCGGATGGAAGCTTTAACCTTTTGGGGTCAGATGCACACCTTCCTCCTCCCCCAGCCCTCTCCTCAGGGAGCCCTCCCCAGCCCAGGCACCCCATTCAGCCCTCCCTGCCTGGGACCACCAGTGGCAGCCTCAGCAGTGTGCCAGGTATGGGCTTCTAAGCTTAGCCGTACAGCCATGGGGCACTGGGGGGAAAGTTTAGAGAGCACTGTGGCGGGTTTGAGGGTTTGTATCAGAGAGGTTGGGTTCTGTGGATGCCAGCAAGAGGACTTTCCCCGAGCTGAATTTGTTTTCTTTTGCAGGTGCCCCTGCCCCACCAGCTGCCTCCAAAGCCCCTGTAGTCCCCAGCCCTGTGCTTCAAAGCCCGTCTGATGGGCTGGGGATGGGGGCAGGCCCAGCCTGCCCTCTGCCTCCCTTGGCTGGTGGGGAGGCTTTCCCTTTCCCCAGCCCTGAGCAGGGCCTGGCTCTCAGTGGAGCTGGCTTCCCGGGGATGCTGGGGGCCTTGCCTCTCCCTCTGAGTCTGGGGCAGCCTCCACCTTCTCCATTACTTAGCCACAGTTTATTTGGTGTGCTGGCTGGGGGAGGACAGCCTCCTCCTGAGCCCCTGCTGCCTCCACCAGGGGGACCTGGCCCTCCCTTAGCCCCAGGCGAGCCCGAAGGGCCTTCACTCTTGGTGGCTTCTCTGCTTTCACCACCCCCTTCCGATCTCCTCCCCCCTCCTTCTGCTCCCCCTAGCAACCTCCTTGCTTCTTTTCTGCCCCTGTTGGCCCTGGGCCCCACAGCTGGGGATGGGGAAGGATCTGCAGAGGGAGCTGGGGGTCCAAATGGGGAGCCATTTTCAGGTTTGGGAGACCTGCCCCCCCTACTATTCCCCCCACTCTCAGCCCCACCCACCCTCATAGCTTTAAATTCTGCGCTGCTGGCTGCCAGCCTGGATCCCCCCTCGGGGGCACCCCCCCAGGTAAGGCCCAGGGTATGAGCTGGTGGGGCAGAATAAGACTAAGTCAGGGTGGACTCTTCGATGGGGAGGACTCAGTCTTGCCTGGGGTAGGGTGGGTAGGAAGGGAGCAGGGCTACTTCACCCCAAGCCTTCGTCCCACAGTGCATGTGGAAGTGCTGTGTGCCTGTGAGACATTTCACCACATGCTATAATATAACCATTCTTTTTAGCCCTGTGTCCTGAGTGCCCCCCAACCTGGACCACCTACCTCCAGTGTCACCACGGCAACTACTGACCCGGGGGCCTCCTCTCTGGGCAAGGCCCCCTCCAACTCAGGGAGACACCCCCAACTTCTTAGCCCTCTGCTGAGTGCCAGCCTGCTGGGTGAGTGGCATGAGACCAGCAGTCAGAATTGGGAAGTCTCTCTGACAATTGGGGAAACCTGAAGAGCACGTGGGTCAGCTTGGTCTGTGAAGGGAAGAGGCCCTGACTAGAATTTTTCAACAGGTGATCTGTCTTCACTGACCAGCAGCCCTGGAACCCTCCCCAGCCTGTTGCAGCCTCCTGGCCCTCTTCTTTCCAGCCAGTTAGGACTGCAGCTCCTCCCTGGGGGGGGAGCGCCTCCTGCCCTGTCAGAGGCTTCTAGCCCTCTAGCCTGCCTGCTACAGAGTCTCCAGGTAAGCACATGGATTGGGGTGTGGGGGTGTGTGGGTCCTCTGTCAGGAAGAAAGTATTTCCTAAACCTGGGAAGGTTTTCTGAGTACAGAGGACTGTGGTTGAAATAGAGATTTTTTTGCCAGCAGATCCCTCCAGAGCAGCCAGACGCCCCCTGTCTGCCCCCCGAGAGCCCTGCCTCAGCCCTCGAACCGGAGTCTGCCCGGCCTCCCCTCAGTGCCTTAGCCCCACCCCATAGTTCTCCTGACCCCCCAGTCCCTGAGCTGCTCACTGGGAGGGGGTCAGGAAAACGGGGCCGGAGGGGAGGAGGGGGACTTAGGGGCATTAACGGTGAGACCAGGCCAGGCAGAGGCAGAAAGCCGGGCAGCCGCAGAGAGCCTGGCCGACTGGCGCTCAAATGGGGGACACGTGGTGGCTTCAATGGACAAATGGAACGGTCCCCAAGAAGGACTCACCATTGGCAGCACAATGGGGAGCTAGCTGAAGGAGGTGCTGAGCCCAAGGACCCACCCCTTCCTGGGCCCCATTCTGAGGACCTTAAGGTAGGTGTCTTAATGTAAGGTTGAGGCTCAGAACCTAGCACGTGCCTCCCTGTTTGCACACACACTACTCATCTTTCCTTAGGTGCCCCCGGGGATAGTCAGAAAGTCTCGTCGTGGCCGGAGGAGAAAATACAAGTGAGTGTGAGGCCCACCCCGTGCCGCCTGTTTGTTGGGACTAGAGAAGTGCACACATAGTGCTGTTTGTTCCTGTGGTATTGGGGATCAGACCCAGGACCTGTGCATGTTAAGCCAAGTGTTGTACCCCTGAACCATATATACCCCTGGCCCCAAATAGCGGCTTGCTTTTCATAAACAGCAGATACTTGAATATGAATAAGGACACTGTGCCTTTACTGTCCAAATGTAGAAAGTCTCTCACCCAGCCTTCTGAAATTGACCTGGTGCTTGGGAGCTGTTCCTGATCATCTGTGCCCTTCTTGCAGCCCTGCCCGGAACAGCAGCAGCTCCCGCCAGGACGGTACCCTGGAGCCCAGCCCTACAACCCGAGTACGTGTGGGCATGGATGGGTGTGAGGGTTAGAGGCATGAGAGGAGGCGAGCCAGGAATGGCAGGTTCGAGTGGTGGGAGGAAGACTCCTGTCACCTTAGCTAACTGATCACTTCTTTTAACTTCTCCTGTACAGGCGGCTGTCCCTCTGCCTCCCCGGGCCCGCCCTGGACGTCCTGCCAAAAATAAGAGGAGGAAACTGGCCCCGTAGCAGCCATACCTGGAGCTGGAATCTGACCCTGACTGCGGAGAGCTGAGTGCTGAGCCTCGGGAGCCCCTGCCAGCCACATGCACCTGTGGACAGTGGGTGGGGGCACTACTCCCCACTCAGAGCACAGACGCAACCCCTTCCCCTACAAATCCCATCCTGAGCCATTGCAGGGGGTAGGGAAGCTCACCCCCTCCCCCCCAAAGCCATGTCACTGAGGAGGCCTGGGGGGGTGGTGTATGGCCCTGTCCCCATCAGGCGCTAAGGGGAACACCCCTTCCCCAGGTCTTTTATTTGTTTAAGTTATTTTTGCACAAATGACTCTTTTTATATTTAATTCGACTTCATTGCCTCCCTTCTTAAAGCCAGCAGGCTCAGTTTACAAACCTGTGAGCTACTGTTGGCTGCTGCCCTCCTTCCCAGTGAAAGGTACAGAGCAATAAGCATCATGCATCTCCCGCATCCCACTAGCACCCCTCTGCCTCTGGCTCAGGTTGCTCAAAGCACAGACCCCCTCTTATCCCTGTCCCCAGGACCGAGACACATAGCCTCATTTCAGAGTGTAGCCAGGTTCCCTCTGCTTCCCTCTGGGATAGGAAAAGGGGCCAAGAGGACTCTGGATCTCTCCTCCCACACACACTACACTGGCCCTTCTCCCCGTCAAACGCTCAGACGCTGCCATGATGCCACTGAGGATCATGCAGCGTGGTCCAGCCGGAGCGGAGCGGCCAGCATGACCAGCTGTCCAGGGGCTGCCTCCTGCCTTTTTTTTGTAAAGACAAGACCCTTGGGAGTTTTAATTCTGTTTTGTACTTGCCCTGTGGGGCCTCCACTGCTTTTCTATGGGAGACACTCTTAATTTAACAGATGAGAATATTTTGAAACTCTGGTTCTGGCTCTGTACTCATTTTTTATTTAGTTCTTTGGTAAGAACAGATTACAACTGAAATAGTCTTGTAGTAGTGTGGTTTAGTCTGTCAGTGCTGCCTCTTCCAATCCAGGAAACACAGCAGAGGCTCCACGGCACAACAGTGTTTAATGGTCAGAGACAGTTGTACAGAATCAGACTCAGCCCCAGAGCTGCTTGGGGACAGGATCCAGGCCTCTCCCCCAGCAGGAAGCACTTACTGGACGGGAGCTGCATGTGGCTGGGCCCACAACCTCATCCAGTAGTAGCCCTGGGCTCCCACTCTATGTCAGGGGAGGGTGCGTACCCCACATGCAAGAACCCTTGCCCTTGTCAGGTGGGATGGGGCTGGGAGTTATAACCAAGGGGAAGCCCTGTGATAGCATCTGACAAAGCTCAGGGGCAAGGGTTACCCCCGCTCCCCAACTCCCAGTGGCGCTCACTTTCCCAGCCTCTTCATCCGAGCATCAATGCTGGCAAAGTTTCCCTCAACTGTGGCCAGGTTTTCACGCATCGTTGTCTGTACCTACAAAAGGGGAACAGAAGTCTTATTTTTGTCTGGCCTAGGTGTCTTATCAGAGATGAGGAACACTCAGAAGAAAAACTATAAGAAAAAAAACAATAGAGTGGCTAAGATCTATCTCAGTTGCTAGAGTGCTTGCCTAGCAAGCATAAAGCTTTGGGTTCACTTCCTAGCCCCACATAAATCCCATGCACCCCAGGCAGAGTGGCAAGCCCTTTAATGCCAGCACTTGGAAGGCAGAGGGAGATGGAGCTCCGTGAATCTGAGTCCAATCTGGACTCAGGCAGCCAGGGTTTATACAAAAAGACCTTGTCTCGAAATTAAAAAAAAAAAAAAAAAAAGTCATAGTTTGATGTCAATGTGGGCAAGGGTCTAGAGAGATGGCTCAGAGGTTAAGAACACTGGCTGCTCTTCCAGAGGACCCAGGTTCAATTCCCAGCACCCACATGGGATACATGAGAATTGTTTCTAAAAGAAACAAAACCACAGCTTTGGGTCTCTGGTTTTGAGAGGGGTGGGTGGGTAGGTGGAGGAAATGTTCATAGCAGCAGTTTCCAAACCACCCTGAGGACGATGGACTTAGGTCAGGGTCTGCATGACTAAGGATCCCACACATCCCACCTTCAGAGCTGTTCACTTATTTTATGAAAGGATAGGCAACAAGACTTTGATGAAATTAAGTCTTCATGGGTTCAGAATTTTAGAAAGCTAGAAGAAAAATATACCAAATATTTCTCTCCCCCACCCCCAAGACAGGGTTTCCTTCCTTGGCTGTTCTGGAACTCATTCACTCTGTAGACCAAGCTGACTTTGAATTCAGAGATGCCCCCTCCCTCTGTCTCCTGAGTGCTAGGACTAAAGGTGTGTTCTACACCACTTCTGGCTTTTTCTTTTCTCCATTTATTATGAGACTAGGTCTCATCATGTAATCATGACTGGCCTGGAACTCCCTACAGTTACCAGGCTGGCCTCAAACTCAAGAAATCCCCATCTCTGCTTCTGCCTCTGCAGTGTCAGGGTAGAAGGTGTGCACCGCCACACTGTCCTTTGACGGTCTGTAATGTTCTCCCTGCAGCACAGGAAAAGCTCACCCAGTGAGACTGAGCACCAGTTATGTGCTGAGCACAGCCATAGGAATGAAACAACAAGCTAGCTGCTGGAGAGAGCTGAGCAGTTAAGAACACTGGCTGCTTTTCCAGAAGACCCAGGAGTCCTTAACACACACATGGTAGCTCACAACCATCTGTAACTTCAGTTCTAGGGGAGCTGATGCCCCCTCCTGGCCTCCACAAGCACCAGGCGCATAGATGATGCACCCATGTGCATGGAGGAAAGATGCTCATCCTTATAAAGTCAAATCTTTAAAACAGTAGAGGAGGAGGAACAGGAGCAGGGCTGGAGAGATGACGTAGGGTTTACTCTGCCAACATCAGGACCAGAATGTAGATCCCTAGCACCTAGGTAAAAACGTGGGCAAGGATCTGGAGGGATGGCTCAGAGGTTTAAGAGCACCAGTAGCTCTTCCAGAGGACCCAGGTTCAATTCCCAGCATCCACATGACAGCTCTCAGCTGTCAATACCTCTAGCCCTATGGATTCTGACACTTCCTTCTGGCTACTGTGGGCACTAGCAGATAAAACACCTATATACATAAAAATAAAGAAAAAGTGGGCATAATGGTGCTTGTCTATAACTCCAATGCTCCCATATGTATGTGCAGGGGATCTGGAATATTCCAAAACTAGTTCCAACAATGAGTTCCTGAAATTTCTGTAAGAGACTGTCTCAAAAGAGTTAAAGGGCTGAAGATATCTCAAGGGCTAAGTGTATACTTCTTGTAGGAGATTCAAGTTCAGTTCCCAGCACCCACTTTAGGCAGCTCACAACTGTCTAAAGTCAAGCTCCAAAAGCATCTGGTGCTTCTGATAGTCACAGACTCATATTCACAAGCGTGGGTGTGTGCATGTGCGCACACACACACTCCTGCTCATACACACACAGTCACACTAAAATATTTTAATAAGAAAGTACAGATACGACAGGCTCAGGCCTAATGTCAGCCTAGAACAGCAGGGTTGGTCTTGTGAGTTTGAGAGAGGCTCAGGCTATATGAATACCAAGTCAGTTAGGCATACACAGCAAGACCTGTTTCAGGAAAAAAAAATTTAAGCATGGTAGTACATTCCTGTAATCCCAGCACTTGGGAGGAAGGAGGAAGAGGGTGGCCACAAATGTGGGGCCAGCCTGGTCTACAAACCAAGCTTCAGGCCAGTCCAACACACTGTGACTCTGTCCGACACCCCCAGTTTCTGCCAAAATCAAAAAAAAAAAAAAAAAAAAGCCACAACCTCAGGTGCCCTGCCCTGCCCTGTACTGGAAAAAAGTGGCAACAAAATAAAAAGACCCACACACCTGGGTCAGGAGAGCGGTGTTATCCTTAAGGGAGCTGACCATCATCTGCTGGGTGGTATCCAGGTGTGTCAGGAGCTGACCAAACTGCATAGCTACCGAAGTGAAGAAGAAAGCACGGCTAAGAACAGAATCCACAGTAAGGGGAACCAAAGGCCCGCAGCCCTCGGCCCAGGTGCACACCTTGCTCGTGCAGCTGCTTGATGGTGACAAGTCGCTGCACCAGCTCGGGGAGGGTGGAGGCGATGGGACTCCAGCGCTGGATAGTCTCGTACAGCTGGTGCACCTGGAAAAGTGTGCAGGGCTGAGGGGACACTGGCATCACAGACCGGACAAAGGAGCAGCCAGCAAAGTGGGGGGAGGGCTCCCGTAACTCTCTCAGCTGATAAGATCTGAGACTGCGAGCCCCCTGCAGTCAGATGCTGCTGCTCAGCTCAGCGGAGGAGCCTGGGGGAGCATAGCGGGACAGAGATGGGCAAGACAGCTCCTGACCTTGTTCTGTGTGTCTGCGTCCTCCACAGATGCCTTGTGCTTAGCGATCTCATTCACCTTCCCCAGGACACTCTGAAAGCACAGCGGGGGAGGGTGACAGGGCTCCCAAGTCCCTGCTACTCAGAATCCCACCAGCTTTCTACTTAATACCTGTAGCCGAGCCTCTACTTGGTCCAAAACTGCAAGGTCCAGGGCACTCACTTTGGCCTGCAACAGTTCTACCGTTTCCTAGGTCAGGGAAGGGTTGGACAAGTGTCACCAGGAAAAGAGTCAAACTATAAAAGGTCTGCAACAGTTTACACATTTCACATTTAGATTAACACTGGCGTTAATGCAGGACTGTATACCCAGTCAGTGTCAGGACTAAGACACTCCCACAGGCCTCTATACCCCATATCCCAGCCTCTGCCATACTCACCATGAGGCAGGCCCCCTGAAGACCTGCAGAAAGGGGGTTCTGGTGGGAAGCGAGGAGAGAAGTCAGTTGTCTTCATACAGCCGAAAGATGATTCCTGGATCTAGCTGGAAACCCCTAGCTGACCCCTCCCAGATTCTGGGAACACTGTGAACTAAGGGACCAGTACTCAGGCTCTGAGTACTGTAGACTTAGTACAGGAAGGAGAGCACCTGACCTGAGCATCCTGATCACAGCGGACAGTGGCCTCCAGCTCTGTCAGGCGCTTCTCGAGCTCTGCAACCTTTGGGGAGGAGGAGGAGGAAGAAGAGGAGGAGGAAGAGGAAGAAGAGGAGGGGGGTGACTTCTGCCACCCTCCAACCCTGGCAAGGGCTGCTTTCTTGGAACACATCCCTAGCTACAATCTTTTTTTGTGTTTTTTGTTTGTTTGTTTGTTTGTTTTGAGACAGGGTTTCTCTGTGTAGCCCTGGCTGTCCTGGAGCTCACTCTGTAGACCAGGCTGGCCTCGAACTCAGAAATCCGCCTGCCTCTGCCTCCCAAGTGCTGGGATTAAAGGCGTGTGCCACCACCACCCAGCTCCCTAGCTACAATCTTAAGTTTAAAGTCAAAGTAGATGGCAGGAGGATCTGGAGTTCAGAGCCAGCCTAAGCTACATCCTGGGTTCAAAGCTAGTGTAGCCTACGTGAGACCCTGCCTCAAAAAACAGAAATGCAAGGAGACATAGAGAGTAAGACTTCAAGGGGAATCAAAGCTTCCCTGGTACTCACTCCCCAGGCCTGACCCTGTAAAGGCCGATTCGCCCTCCCCAGCGCCCAGCCTACGGTACCTGACTCTTCCCTGGCTCCCAGCCTATGCTACACTCATACTTACTTTGGCAGCTTGCGAGAACTTGTCCTGCTCAGGCCGAGAGTGGAGTTCGTAAGTGACGAGGCTGCTGTCTGGGGGGGCCCCGCCTGTGGCCTTGGCCCCTGAACTGCCTTTGCTGCTCTTTGTTGCTTCCAGCTGCAGCAGTAGGCGCCTGGAGCAGAAGAACAAGCGAGAAGATCGAGACCCGAAAGATGAGGGCTGTTTCAATCTCTCTTCTGCCTCATAATTCTCATTAAAGAACGGCTAGATCACCTCCCTCCTGTCCTCTACAGTCCCACTCAGCAGTGACTCTGCTGCTAAGGAGGGCACTCACTTAGCTAGGGCTCCATCTGGGTCAGCGAGGTTGATTGCAGCATCTGGTCCCAGAAGCTTCTCCAGGTGGGAAGCCACCAGCTGCTGCTTCAGAGCTGCCAGCTGTTTAGCCAGCACCACAGGGGTGAGCTTCTCCTCAGTGGCTGACTCCTTCACTGTTGTCTGATGGAGGAGGAGTCAGTAGTGACAGGAAAGGAATAAGAAAAAAGAGCAATACCCTCGAAGGAAGCCGTAGCCAGGCAGTTTTATTGACTTTACATATCTGCATGTATGCAGTCCGTGTACCACATGCGTGCAGCGACCATAGGGGGCTAAAAGGGACATCAGATCCCATGGGACTAGAGTTACAGATGGTTGTGAGGCTCTAAATGGGTGCTAGGAATAGAACCTGGGTCCTCCGGAGGAGCAACCAGTGCTCTTAATCTTTCCAGCCACCCCTGCCACGCCCCAGGAGATATTTCAAACAGCACTGACTCGAACAGCATTAAATGTAGATTTGCGTCCCCGACTGTGAAAACCTCCCACCGCAGGCCCTCAGAAACCCGTGTAGGAGGCAGGACGGCTACCTTGATCTTCTCCACCTCAGCCGTCAGCTCTTGGACTTCATGCAGTAGTCGCTGGTACTTCTGCTGCGGTGTCTCCTTCACTCCCAGACCCTCTCCAAGCTAGAGAGCAAGGAGGAAGGGGATGTTACCTCTCCCATCAGAGGGAGCCTTAGGAATTAATCCAAACCTTGGACCTAAGTCCTAAGGTATTGCTCCAACATCTGGATCCTCAGTGCCCCAGTGCAGCAGAGAGGGAGACAACCCAAGGTCTGGAGACTCCAGAATGTTGGCAGAGAGCAGACCACTCTCAAGTGTACCCTGCTTGGAAGCCACACAGACAAACTCAGACTAAGACGACATCCCTCAGGCTCAGCAGCTAAGGGCACTGGCTGCCCTCACAGGAGACCTTCAGGGCCTAGCATACATATGGTGGGTGGGTTACAACCTCTGTAACCCTCGTTCTACAGATCCAATGGTCTCTTCTGGTCTCCCCAGACATCAGGCACACACATGTTACATATACACGCACATGATACATATACATGCATGCAGGCAAACACTCATTTACACAAAATAAAAGATAAATAAACCTTAAAGAAAAAAAAAACAGACAAACAAACAAAAAAGTCAGGTGTGGTGACACACAACTTTTATCCCAGCACTGGGAGGCACAGGCAAATAGATCTCTGAGTTTAAGGCCAGCCTGATCTACAAGTTCCAGGACAGTCAGAGCTACCCAGAGAAACTCTGTCTTGAAACAACAACAAAAACACAACAAAATAATAATGATAATGATAATAATAATCCCCTAAATCAAAAAACCAGAGAGAGAGGAAGAGGGAGAGGGAGAGGGAGAGGGAGAGGG